CTTCTTCAAACAGTCATTATTTGACATTAAGGGTCAATACATGGGAACAGTTATGGAAAAGGTTTTAGACTTGGTAAGTTGTTTAGCAAGTTTTCAAATGGGAATTCAAAAAAAATGCATTCTAAGACCTTCGAAATTAGTCTTCACATGAGTCTTATCTTATTATATAGACATTATATGGTTAGGTAAGTAGATCTTTTCCAACAGGCTATTTTTTCTTATTCCTATATGCAAGAGCCATTGTGATTCTAGGGTAAGATGTCTATATGGTTGATCAGAAATAGTACAGAAAAAAAAAGGAGAACGAAGAAGAAACTAATATTCTTTTCATTTATTTGGAAGATAAGACATATCAAAAGTTGCTTAAAATTACAAGTATTACAGTACTATACTTTTCTGAGCATGGTGGGGAATGCTTCTAAACCCAATACTCTGCAGACTGTAACAGGAAGATGATAAGTTGATACTATCCTGGACTACACAATGAACCTCCATCTCTCTCTCTCATACACACACACATGTGTATACACACACATACACACTGATTAATGAGCTATATGCTATTTATTATATAAGCAAAATAATAAAATGTATGCTGTAAAAAACTAAGATAAGAGTGATTTGCTATGAGATACCTGCTCAGGTAAGTAAGGCATCATAATGCAAATAGAATTCCAACTATCTAACACCAGCAAGAAGAAAACAGCCAGGTTACATTACAGAGTTTTGGAAATTGGGTACTAAATAAGAACTTATTGAAGTGAGAGATGTAACATCCGCCTGTTACATGCCAGGTGATTTATAGACGTTCACACTTAATAGTCAATCAATTTTGTGAGTTGTAAATATTCAGTAACCCTGTTTTACAAAAGAAAAAGAAACTCAAGATCAGATAAGCTCAATGTCACATGGCAGAGTAATAGACCCTGTCTCCAAATCTAACTCTGCACCACTTAGTAGCTCTCCTTTTCTCCGTCTCCTATTCAGTTTATACACTTTAAGGCTCCATTAAGAAGAAACCGTTCTTATGCCTCATTTGCCAGAAATAGAAGGATGAAGAAACATGAGCAAAGTTCTGGCATGGGAAATGGTTTCCAGTTGCTAGTTTCAATGTGTGACTTTTGGAGAAGCCACTTTTCTCTGTACCTCAGTTTCAATTCCATTCTCTCCAAGATCTCTTCAGCTCCAAGCCTACCTGATACTGAGGGGTCAAAAGTTAAGCTGAATAACCTGAAATTTTTTGCCAAATAGTTTCTATCTCCCTTTTTACAAGAATGCTATTATGTTCTAAAGGTCATGCTCAACTTACAATATTAACATAGCTTCCTAATTTGGGGACCCATTTCTTCTCTGTGTCTTTTTTCTATAGTCTCTTGCCACCTCTACCCAGTATTTTGACCACTGCTTTCTAAAGAGAACATCTTGCTATGCTTGTTATTTTCCTATTCTGAAGAGTTACAGTAAATATGCTGATAAAGGGGGAAATAGTACTAATGACAGTTGTAAGGAAGAAGGAAGAGGCACAAGAAGGCTACTAGGAAGAAACAAGTGACATATAGGTAACAGATATGAGTCATAATGGACATAACATGGAAGAGGATTTGGTAGAGTTCATAAAAGAGTTGTTATTCATATTATCACTTCCTGTTAGTATTGATATAATGAATGATATTTTATCATGATCACTGGGGCACTGGTACACAGACCAAATTGACATTTTGAAATAAGAAATGGGAAGAATAGCAGAAAGCTTGGTATGTGTCATAATAGCTTCACGGCAGGCAGTAACTATAGAAAGGGAGAAAAAAAGATCAAGGCTAAGAGATCTTTTATACAGCTAGGGATAGTCCACTCACTAGAGATATGTGGGAGTTATCTGCGTAGACACGGCATTGGCATTCAACCAGGAGATAATCTAGTAAGAGAATAGAAGTGGAGACAGGAAATAAAGTGCATTGAAATACATCGGTGTGACCAAGACAATGGGGAAAGAGAAAGTAGAGGGCCATGGTTGGAGTATCCGAAAACAAAGCTCAGTGAAGACTCCCCAACCCTACTGTCAGACAAAAAGGCTGAGAGGCTGAAGGCAAAGGATGAGTTGACTCCAAGTGAGTAATGTATCAGGAAGCAATCATGACTCAAGTTCTTGTATTCTCTACATTGTACTCTTTCCCTACTCTTCTCATTTCTGAGAACCAGTAGCTAAAAATACACACACAGAGACACAAAACCAAGTTGAAGGGTTCATGTGCTAACCTAGATTTTAAAGTAAAGGAGGAAATAGATCTTAGATAACATAAGGAAACCAGAGCTGAGAAGCATACAATAAGACTGAATTGACAGACTTTTGATTGGATAATAGGAAAATCACTACTGCATAAGCAGCCAGAGCAGGGGATGGAGGAAGCAGCGGAGGTACAGACTGTAGGAGGCATTGAATTGACTTACTAAATCCTGTTATTTGTCTTCTATTACGCAGAACACGATTCTTTGAAGTTGCTGCTTTTATTCAATTCATTCCTCACCTATGAAGTCTTAGCTTAATCTCACCCTGGGAAGGATGCCATGAAGGAAATTGAAAATCAGGTTTTTCATCTGAAGCGCCAGTGCCCACAAGAGCACAGTTTTAATTCAAATAATTGTTTGGTAGGAGTGTTGTGCCAAATCAGAGTGTGAGTCACTCTGGGGAAAAAAATAAAAGAGACCCACTTAGCAAAATCCTGAAGATCAACTTCTCGAAGATTTTCCTGCCAAACACACCTAAAATGTATCAAGGCAGGCAACTAGCAGCTAGTCACGAGGGTTGAAAGAGTTTGTTAGCAGCACTTCTCCAGAGCAACAAGGCCAGTGCTCTTATCGCCCTTAAAACTTGTCATTGCTAGCCGGGCAGTGGTGGCGCACGCCTTTAATCCCAGCACTCGGGAGGCAGAGGCAGGCGGATCTCTGTGAGTTCGAGACCAGCCTGGTCTACAGAGCTAGTTCCAGGACAGGCTCCAAAGCCACTGAGAAACCCTGTCTCGAAAAACCAAAAAAAAAAAAACAAAAAAACTTGTCATTGCTGCCACTGATTGCTATCTCGGAATGTTCATGACGTATGCTTGAGCGCTTGCTACGTCTGTTTTCCCTTTTTTCACAAGTGAGCTATGTTGGAGCCCTCACTGAAGATTGGGCTACCCTATCCGATTTCGGTTCTGACTTAACTCTACCCTAGCTAGCTAGGCACAGTGATGAATGATGCTCATCTGTTAGACCAGGAGGGCTGCAAATTGACAGAAAAACCTTTCAGGAGAAAAAGAGGGGGAAGTGGGGAAGGAGGGGGAAAGGTGGGGGAGGGAAAAGGGAGGGAAAGGAGAGAGTGGAGAGGACACTGAGATTCTAGAGAAGACAGAATCTTGTGTCCACAAGAGTGTCCTGATTCCAAAAGCAAACATTTTTAGGACCTCTTTTGCTCTCCGCTATAGCTTGAAGAAACTGCTGTGGCTCTGAAGTCAGCCTGATTAACTCAATAGTGTGAGTTTGCCAGCCTGCCATGGCAAAAGTAGCCCACCCTGGCTCGTTAACCTCAGTCAGATTTCACACTTTTGCGAGCACTTTGAATGGCACGTTGATTTTATAACAGAAAATCTACCGGATGCTGTAGGGGGTGACCACTGTTAACATTTTTATCTCAAAATGACATGTACTTTCTGATGCGGGGACTGTGACGAAAGTGTGTATCTGTATATTAAGCAAGGTGAGTCAGAGGGGATTTTCCACTTCCAAAAAGCTACAGATCAGAAACAAAACATTTGTACCATAACCGTTGTTTCTTATTAATCCCCAAACCTCTTCTTGTCTAGATCCCTCATTCCTTTTCAGAAACACACAAACACCTAAGATACTACACTAACACTCATTGTCTGCGTGGAATTACAGTGAGATAGTCATTTTGTGAGTAACAAAACCTGAAACTCTTCATTAAAGACAGATGGCACTGAGCCCTTATCACAGCTATTTAAGTCCAATACCAGCCAATTTTATGGATCAGATTATGTTGATAAATAAAATATTCTTAGTAGTACAGCAGACCAAGCAACTCTTGGCATGTGAATGCCTATGCTTATAAAGGTTTCTGTGTAGAACATCAGTCTTTGGTGCTCTGTGGATGCTGACCACATCCAGAGGTTAAACAAAAATGTTACTGAACAAATATCCATCCATATAAGAATTTGAGGGGCTGGAGAGATGGCTCAGTGGTTAAGAGCATTGCCTGCCCTTCCAAAGGTCCTGAGTTCAATTCCCGGCAACCACATGGTGGCTCACAACCATCTGGAATGAGGTCTGGTGCCCTCTTCTGGCCTGCAGACATACACACAGACAGAATATTGTATACATAATAAATAAACAAACAAACAAATAAATAAATAAATATTTAAAAAAAAGAATTTGAATACCACTTTGATCCATTTTCTGTTAATATAAAAAGTTATTGAGTTTGGCATGATGACACATGCCCTTAATCTCAGGACTAGGGAGGCAGAGGCAGGCAGATCTCTGTGAGTTTGAGGCCAGCCAGGGCTGTTGCACAGAGAAAACCTGTTTCAAAAAACTGTTAAGAAAAGTTATCAGAGGCTATGTACTTTATGAAGTAGTCTCCCGCTTCTGATGGCTGGAGAGTTGAGACAGTACGCTGACAGTGTCACAGCAGAGTCTCCCATGCACACACCTGCACCACAACTTGGTGCACAATCAGAAAGAGAAATGGCTGCTGCAGAAAGGACCTAACACTGGGAGGAGCTTTGCTTTGTAAAAGTCTTCTCATACAAGAATTATCATGGGTTCCATAAGTACTACAGTGTTGCTTCTGAGGCTAAAACTCTGAGTGACTTAAGTACCTTCTGCCATACCCCACTTCTGGAAGTTTCCACCACTCAATGCTACCACATTGGGGACCAAGCAGCACAAACCTCTGAGGGGCACCCTTAGCACATAGCGCTCACCTGTACTTTTCAATCTTACAGATGATTCAGGAGACTCATCATCACTTGCTATGGAAACAGAAACGTAGCAGTTTTCATGTGTTCTGCATCTCCACCAGGTCAGTACTCTGAAGGAGGCACATTTAGTGCCACCTGGACTAAGAAGCCTTGGGAGCAGAACTAGAAAAGGTGTGTGTTCGCATTCTGGTGAGCAAGGGGCTAAATTATTTGCCCTTGTTGCACACACGAGAAGTCCTGTGCAAAATTTCCCTGTGCAATGTACTGAAAAAGATGTCTTGATTCCCTAAGAACTCACACTGTGCTAAAAGACCCCAGGGGATCCAAAACCAGCCAAATATCCTGTTCAGGTTATTTACTTTCATACTGTGAATTATGTAAGCCTTGTCGTGGTGCATTCCAGGTCTCCAAAACAATACAGATTACAAATAAGTTATTTGTGCTTGACTCCATTATGTCTGTTAATAACCTACTCTTACCCACTAACAAGCAAAGAGCAGCCTACCTGTACTCCAAACATCCTAAATGCTACTAATTTGTTATCAGGGGCAGGCAGCGTTTTGCACAGGATTCTCTTTGACCTATTGAAAAGACAAACAGTCTTCTGGAACTTTGCGACACTTACGAGTAAATAAAACCAATGTAATTCCATAGTAAAGGGGGACTTTTAGCTATGTAAGTATCACAGTGCTCAAAGCTCTGAACTGGTAAGGTGTCACTTCTTTCCCCATGGAAAGGCTAGCAGTTAGAAGCCTCTTAATCTGTTTGTGGGTTCTCCTGTCTTCAGTCCTTTCCCTGCACAACTTCTGCCATGGACTGATACGAGGAAAGGTACTATAAAAGACCTCGTGTGTGCCAGCTAGTTTGCCAAGCACTTCTATCGACTCTCCAAGGTGACTGTTACAGTTCATATTTTCTTGAGAGAAAGCTGAGGCTACACAGCTGCCAAGGGGTTCACCTGAAATTGCAACCCAGGACTGTATGGCTTCCAATCACGCCATGTCCCTTATGACGGTGCATTTAAAGGCCTGATGGACTCTGGCCATGCAGCTTCAATTTTAACTAAAGGTTAAAATAGAGACCAGTTAAGTCTGTTTACTTATTCAAGCCCTTGATGAAATGCTTGATATTTTGGGAAGGCGACCTGTAATATCTAGTAATACCTGCATTTCGGCTATCTAGGATGGTTCTTTATTTATATGTGTGTCTAAAGGTAGTCTGAAATGCCAGTATTTTGGTATATTAACTGCTTAATGAAAAAGTGTTGTGGAAGGGTACACTTAGGAATACATGGATATAAGCATACTCAGAGTAGAAATTCATGGGCCTTTCAATGTGCTATGGGCTTTGTGACTCACTAAGCAGCAGTTGTAGTCAGCCTTTGGATTTATTTGACTATCAAATCTTTTCTTGTCCTCTCCTATTCAAGTTATGGGACCTTGCCCTTCTGGCAGTACATATTAAGATTTTTAATGTGCTGAGGAATATTGGGAATCCCCCAAAGTGAGGTAAGATATTTCCCAATTTATATGTCCATGTGATTCCCCCTCACCTTCCATGAACATCTGGAATGAATTCTAAACCATGAAATGCATGGCTTCTACTTCCCCAGGGAACCAAAATGACCTCTAAGCAATCAATACCTTTTCCAAGCAACACTATCCAAGTGAATTGGGTGATTGGTTTTTATGGAAAAAAGAAATACATGTTCTGATAATAATAAAAGAATGTTTGAGGGAACAGTGGGAAAACTATTATAAACTTGTCAAGAATCTGGCTACAGTGGTGTATGCCTTCAATTCAAGCACCAGGGAGGCAGAGACAGGTCTCTGGGATACATAGTGAGTTCCAGGACAACCAGGGCTATGAAGACATTTTAAAATATGTATAGATAGTGACTATAATGGTATTAGTAAAATCTCCAATTTGATATCAACTTGAATATCTAGCCATAGAATAGTTGAAAAAAAATATATATATATATATGTTCAAAACTATAGTTTTGTATATATTTTCCTTTATTTTATTTTGAAGAACATTTTTAAATAAAGAAAAAAATAAAATATGAAATTCATACCCAAGTTTGTAACTTAGAATTAGTAACTATTGGGGCTGAAGAGGTGGCTCAGTGGTTAAGAGCACTGGCTACTTTTCCAGGGGACCTAGACTGAGTTCCCAGCAACCATGGTGGCACAAATCCTCCTCTCACTCCAGTTTCAGGAGATTTGACCTCTATTTGAACTGTATCCATACAGCGCACAGACAAACGTGCAGGCCAAAAAGCCACACATAGAGGTAAACTAGAATCTCAAAAAAACAACCAATAAACACTTAGATTTTACTTTGTTTCAGCTTTTGTATATAAGAAAGAAATTATTTTCATGATCTTTCCACAAAGACTCACGGATTCTACATAGTTTTTTCAAAATGAAAGGACTAATGTGGGGAAATCATTGGCAAAATATGCAGCATACAGAAATGAACATCTTCAATTCAATAATTTCTTCAAACTCATTAAAAAAACACACAAGTTAGAAAATGGACAAAAGGAGTAACAATACAATCAATAAAATTATTCAATTTCACTCTAAAGAAGTATGAATTAGCAAAATGTAATTGCTGGTTTTTGTCTACTGAATCAGCTGGCTTTATGATTACACTGCCTAGTGTTGACAAAGACACACTGAGACAAGTATTCATATTCATTGCTGGTATGTTTAAATCCATACACCACTCATTGTGTGAAGGCAAGTTGATGACATCTATAAAAGCCTTTCATGTTCGTGATATTTTAGCTGATAACTAACTGCTCTTTGGGAGTGTATTTAAATGAATTAACCAGAGATCTATATAATTATTTATCAATTTATTGTAATTCCAGAATTTTTAAAATAGAACCAAGTATCTAGCAATAGGGGACTGATGAAATAAACCACCCCATCATTCTAATAAATATTACTAAAAGTTATAAAAATATTTTAAAATGATTAAAATGGTTATTTTAAAGAAAAATTAACAGGATTATAGAAAATCATGTATGAATGAAGTTACTTGTGTATGTGTGCATCTATATATATATATATATCTTTTCATTATTTGGAATAAAGTTATGAATGCTGTCCTTGAAAAGAAATCAATTGGAACTATTTTCATAGGACACAATCCAGTACCAAAATTACTAATATGAATATATTTTCTTTTTTGTTTGTTTGTTTGGGGTGGGGCTCAGTTGTGCCATGGTAAACATGTGGGCTTCAGAGAACAGCTTGTAGGAATTGATTTTCTCCTTCCACCATGTGGGTTCAGGGAATTGAATTCAGGTCATCAGGTTTGGCAGTAAGTGCCTTTCCCCTCTGATCCATGTCTGTCTTTTTAAAACATATCTTCATAAAATGATTTTAATGGTTACAAATGATTATGAACTGGTTGTCACTATGCAACCATTCACAGTTGTTCAACTCATCTGTAAATTCCTGCTTTTTGTCCTCAGGAACCACCATGTCCCATGAGGCTTACAGACTGCAATGTTGAGAACCACTCTAATCCTCAAAATAAGTCACCACGTTGGATAGAAAGCTTCACAGTTTGGGCCTTCCATCAAATATGTGCTGTGCAGATGTTTCAGGACTTTGCAAATTGACTTTACTGACTGAACTCATTTTGAAAACAATTGTTTCAAGCCAGTTTTTCTTTCTTACCCTCTCCCAATCCATGAAAGCCTAAGCATTTTATATATATTGTCATCTAGTTGGAGAAAAGGGAATTCCAAAGATTACCATGGAGTTAATTCCCCCATGAAAGACTATTAATCGTATCTGTCTGAAGGGTCTTTCTAGTTGTGAGGGAAGTCAGCTTATGTTCATGGGCATATATAAACATGTGTGTGTGCAGCAGAATTCTGCCAAAAGTCAAGGTTTAAAAACTGAGGATTGTATTTAGTCACGCTTTTCAACTAAATAGCAATTTAAATATTCACTGAACTCTGAACAAATCCTATATCATTTATCTGAAATTTAAGAAGGAGATTAAATAGACTATGACCATGGTCCTGTTGAGAATTGGACAACAATGCAAAACCTGTCCTGTCACAGACGTTTCGGAAAGCACCACAGCTAATAGGGAAGACTACTAGATCAGACTTCCATTTTAGTAAGCATAACTATTAGCATTTTAAGGCCAAGCATGATGGTGCGTGCCTGGCATCCCAAGGTCAAGACCAAGTTGTTCTACATAGTGAGTTCCAGGCCAGCTTGGGTTACATAAGAAAACCCTGTCTTGGGAAAAGATAAAAGGAATTACTTTCTTAAAAACTTCTAATGCCAGACTATGCTCAAAATCTCTATTTTCTTCATTTTCTGCTCTATAGCTTTATTTTAGCCTTTGTAAATTACTTTTGTAATGGTAGAAGTACAGCCCACCCATTTTATAAAAAGGATTTAAGGGTGATTTTCAGGTATAATTAAAATTCTGTTGAAGACGACAATGTTTCAGATGTGACACTAGCCTGAGGATTAGCTAAAGGTCTATGTTTTCACAGCAGGAGTTAATGTACAGAGTTAACTGAACAGTGATAGTCCAGTCCTCTTTCTTTAAGCTTCGGTGGCAGTTCAGCCATTAAGAGAGTTTCCATCCATTTCCCCACTTATTTATAAGCAGCCCTCCTTTCAGTCCTAGTGCCTGGATCAATGAGATGGACACTAATGCTGCTTCTTTATAATAATAGTACCTAAGAGTATTGATGTTTTTCATTTTTCAACCAGCACTCTAATGCACAGCTGCTGACAATAAAAGCCCCAACTCTTAACGGAGATCAGTGGGAGTTACAGGGAGCTCACAGTTATCAAGGAATTGAACTCCTTACGAGATAGTTGGGTTTACTAAATTATTCTTTCTAAAATGTCTCTGAGTGAAAAGGAGTTGCTTGGCACAAACAAATCTGTGTTGGGGTGCCAATGCAACTGGGAAAGAAAACAGTCCAGCTATTTAAAGCAACCACAAAATGGGTCCATTTGGACCCCCTAGGTCGTTTTAACCAAGGTGAGACATTTAGCATCAAATAAATAGATTGTGGTCTGCATTTCATTTGAGAGAATACAAGACATGAATAAGCCTATTAGGGAGAGGGCCTAGGGACTGCTTTCAAAATTCACAGATTGAGGAGCAACCTAGAAGACTGTGCATGCTGGATTCATAGTGAAAGTGTATGCTTTCACATGGGAAGAACTTTCCCTTTCCATGCTCTGTCTGAAGCACCCTTCTTGTCTAGGTTTCCCTTGGAAGTATATTTGGCTATTCACATGGCTCTAGGATCCACAGGCCTTGCCTTCTAGTCCTATACAAATGCACCTTTCTCTAAAACGGTGCAAGCAGCACTCCACAGCAAGTCAGCGTCAAAGCAACCTTCCCAGCCCCAACTATTGTCTCCACTAAGATCCAGAGGCTGCAAAGTCAGGAAAGCATCAGGAACTTCTCCTCTGTCAAGTGTATTAGCTAGCATTCAGCCCTTCTAGAAATCCTGTTGCAAAGGACAATATTAGTAAACGACGGGGAAGTAGTGGAAGGGTAAAGCTCAGGTTAATGCAAGCTGACTGTTCAGTGTCTTAAGACTTATACTATCTCCAAAAATGCCAAATAAACGGGGTTTCTCTGGGTGCTTGAAGAAAGAAGAAGCCCTGTTCTTGCTTTAGTATCTTGATCCCATTAGTTTATAGACATTGATTATATCTCTATACATAGATTCTTTGTGCATTGGATACTGTATATAGGCATTTTAGTGATTACTTATTGATCAAGAAGGCAGGTTTGCTTTATAATCAGAACACCCTGACCTCACTCATTGGCTTTCTTTTCCTGGAACCCTGCCCAATACTTCTGCGGGATCTCATTCCCCAATCTTTGGTACTCTTCTTCCACAGTGGGAAAATGGAGCTACTTTTGCTAATATCCCACAGTTGAAAGGTGCTATGTAACTCCCTCGTGCTCTTACATATTTTTATTGGCAGGACTGGAATGAAGGGTTTAACTATTACCGCATTTCTGAGCACCAGGTCTGCTCCATTCTTTCCTTCCACACTCTCAGTACAGAGTATTATTTTGCAGAGCCTAGAGTACTTTATTAATGTTCTTCCATTAGTTCCAATAATGTTCTTGGAAAGACATAGAATTTAAATTATTTTCCAAAAGCTGAAGATAAAAGAGGTAAAGTGCCATCCAAAAACACATAGATATTTTGGACAGCCTACTGTTAGAGAGACTTCTAGTGCAGGAATTGCCAGGGACCACCTTAGAACACCAGGAACAAACAGAAAGGAATCACACTCCAAATTCTTGAAGTGTGTGATTTAGACAGCTCTTTATTTTCTAATGCAATATGTGCCTCTTTTCCTCACTGGCCCCATATGACATACGTATTTCTCACTGGATGGCATCAGCCAGTGCCATAATCTTTTGTGGCACCCAGACAGCCCAATCTCAGGGTTCACTTTTCCAGGGAAAACAATGTGCTTCCTCACGTTCGTGCCAAATTGCACAGAGTGTAGGCATTTATGTTAATGGCTGTTTCAGCACAGTCCTGACAGGTATGTTTTAAGAATACTGTGTATACATACATTACTGCAATATACACCTAAGATTTAACCAGGCCACAACTGACGGGAATGTAACAATCACTCATAGTCTACCCCTTTCAACTCTCACCACACGCATCTACATATGTGGACATTTACATGGACATGAATACATGAATGCACTTCTTTTAAGGCAAGTGCTAGGTCAGAGCGAATATTTTACAGGGATTGTTCTGTTCTCTCCTTTTTAATGAAGTCCAAAATCACAGGAAGTGAACATTCCGTTCATCTGTTCTAAAATATCTGCTGTCAGAGTAGCTAAGATACTCAGTGGGGCCAAAAGACATGCTCTGTACAAAAGCAGGCACAGAGGACATCTAGCAAGATTATCAGACCCTATTGCAAATTCCATGTTTGCAGAAAGTTCATGCACTCTGTCCAGTCAGGAGGAAATGATTGACAGAGTATGCCACATTTGCATTTCTTTAACCATATCTATAATATACCATACTATGCTGTAGCCTTTGCATGTGGGTATTATAAAATATAGTAAAGAATGGGTGGCTCTTACCAGCATGCAACCCTTGACTTGTTTGCTTCCCCCAAGGGCTAAGGCTGTGTCCTGCCAGTGTTCAAAACTGTTAAATGTGTTCTTTGGAGTAGCCTAGTTAACATCTGTCAACAGAACGAGATAAAACACACCGTGAATTCAATCTATCAGGATACAGATTTTTGGTAGGGGATGGCTAAAAGAAAAGAACAGTAAGATAAGATGCATTCAAAGAGTAATTGCTCTCAGCCCGCTGTCTAAATCAGCAAAGGAGCACAGCAGGAAACTGGGAACTGGGTCTTGATAATGTATGGAACGTATTGGAGAGCCAGAAAAGGAAAGACGCTGGGGGACTTCAACAGTTAAGCTCAAGTTGCCAATTTACTATAAATCCCTTTTGCCATCAGTCTCCTTACAGTGACTGTATATAGTATTCTTAAAACAGTGTGTCTTGCTGCAGAAATATTGAAAGATGCTTTATCTTCCTATGTCCTTTATTAAAACGATATACATAAATTTGTTGTGTCCTTTCTTTTTTAATAATTTATCTTATGTGTATCGATGTGCATGTATGTCTGTGGGAGGGTGTCAGATCTTGGAGTTACCGACAATTGTACCATGTGGGTGCTGGAAATTGAACTCAGGTCCTCTAGGAGAACAGCCAGTTCTCCTAACCACTGAGCCATCTCTCTAGCCCCCAATTGTGTCTTTTCTATATCATAAGTTGTAAAACAATGTTGGTAAAGGCTAGAGCTTCAGGCTACTTTGCTGGCAAATTCTGTACATCTCATTTCCCAGGAAACACTAGTTTACTCACTCCCGGGTGGGTTAGTAGGTATGGCATATAGACTTCTCTGTACCAACTCATCTTGTGAACACCCCCTCCTACACTTTCAGTGTTTTTCTTTTACATGAGTAGAGCTGAGAAATTAACGGTAATGGCTTTTTGATAGAACACTGACCAGGCTAATGGCACTTAATCGTGTTCAGCCTCTGCTCAGCCTCACACGCCTTCTGTCTTTTACTTTGCCATTATGATAGTTAAAAAAAAAAAAAAGAAAAGAAGGAAAAAAGAAAAGTCTTGCTTGATGTGTCTAAACATGCTCTCAAGTCTGGTTTGCTTTTTCTCATACTGAGAACTGTGTTTATTGGTCTCTAAAAGTATATAACCTGAAGGAAAAAAAGGCAATAGTCCTGAGAGTAAAATGTAGTAGCCCACTTGCTCCTAACCCACACATTATACACTTAGAGAAATATTTGAAACTGGCATCATCAAGTAAGCTCTCTGATATTTTCCTTCAGGGCTGACAAGTGGCTTATTTGATAAAGTATCTGAGGTGAGGCACCCGAGTTCAGATCTTCAGCACCCATGTAAAAAGCCAGATGTATAACCGCAAGATCTCCATTACTCCAAGCAACAGCAGAATGTCTGAGGGGAGTTTCGGTGAGGATCCAAAAATGATGGTGTGTTGGCATAAAAACAGAGAAGTCGACCAATGGAATCGAATAGAAGACCCTGACATTAACCCACAAACCTATGAACACCTGATCTTCGATAAAGGAGCTAAAAGTATACAATGGAAAAAAGAGAGCATCTTCAACAAATGGTGCTGGCAAAACTGGATGTCAATCTGTAGAAGAATGAAAATAGATCCATATCTATCACCATGCACAAAACTCAAATCCAAATGGATTAAAGACCTCAATATCAGTCCGAACACACTGAACCTGATAGAAGAGAAAGTGGGAAGTACTCTACAGCACATGGGCACAGGAGACCACTTCCTATGTATAGCCCCAGCAGCACAGACACTAAGGGCATCATTGAATAAATGGGACTTCCTGAGGCTGAGAAGCTTCTGTAAAGCAAAGGACACTGTCACTAAGACAAAAAGACAACCCACTGACTGGGAGAAGATCTTCACCAACCCTGCAACTGACAAAGGTTTGATCTCCAAAATATATAAAGAACTCAAGAAACTAGACCGTAAAAGGCTAATCAACCCAATTATAAAATGGGGCACTGATCTGAACAGAGAATTCTCAACAGAAGAACTTCAAATGGCCAAAAGACACTTAAGGTCATGCTCAACTTCCTTAGCGATCAGGGAAATGCAAATCAAGACAACTTTAAGATACCACCTTACACCTGTCAGAATGGCTAAAATAAAAAACACCAATGATAGCCTTTGCTGGAGAGGTTGTGGAGAAAGGGGTACACTCACCCATTGCTGGTGGGAATGCAAACTTGTGCAACCACTCTGGAAAGCAGTGTTTCGGTTTCTCAGGAAATTCGGGATCAACCTACCCCTGGATCCAGCAATACCACTCTTGGGAATATACCCAAGAGAGGCCCTATCATACAACAAAAGTATATGCTCAACTATGTTCATGGCAGCATTGTTTGTAATAGCCAGAACCTGGAAACAACCTAGATGCCCTTCAACGGAAGAATGGATGAAGAAAGTATGGAATATATACATATTAGAGTATTACTCAGCAGTAAAAAACAAGGACTTCTTGAATTTTGCATACAAATGGATGGAAATAGAAAACACTATCCTGAGTGAGGTAAGCCAGACCCAAAAAGAGGAACATGGGATGTACTCACTCATATTTGGTTTCTAGCCATAAATAAAGGACATTGAGCCTATAATTCATGTTCCTAGAGAAGCTAAATAAGGTGAATCCAAAGACAAACACATAGGCATCCTCAGGAATATTAACCTTCATCAGGCGATGAAAGGAGACAGAGACAGAGACCCACACGGGAGCACCGGACAGAAATCTCAAGGTCCAAATCAGGAGCAGAAGGAGACGGAGCACGAGCAAGGAACTCAGGACCACGAGGGGTGCACCCACACACTAAGACAATGGGGATGTTCTATTGGGATCTCACCAAGGCCAGCTGGCCTAGGTCTGAAAAAGCATGGGATAAATCCGGACTAGCTGAACATAGCGGACAATGAGGAATACTGAGAATTCAAGAACAATTGCAGTGGGTTTTTGATCCTACTGCACGTACTGGCTTTGTGGGAGCCTAGGCAGTTTGAATGCTCACCTTACGAGACCTGGATAGAGGTGGGCAGTCCTTGGGCTTCCCACAGGTCAGGGAACCCTGATTGCTCTTCGAGCAGATGAGGGGGGGGGGGACTTGATCGGGGGAGGGGGAGGGAAATGGGAAGCGGTTGTGGGGACGAGGCAGAAATCCTTAATAAATAAATAAATTAAAAAAAATAAAAAAAAATGATGGTGTGCCAGAGACCTTGAACCAGACCAATGACTCATTACACTGAATATTTTGCATGGAGCTGGTTGGACAAAAGGATATACTGTGTGACACACCGCAGCTCCTGATGCCACTAGGATGAATGAAGAGGTGTTAGAAAGACAGAGGAGTGGGGTTGGGGGTGTTTGTTTTGTTTTTAATTACTTTGGGGGTGTTATTTTAGGGGACATGCTTCAGGGGTGAGGGGTGGATATGGAGGGACTGGGAGGTGAGAAGGATTGGGGTAAATGATGTAAAATTCACAAAGAATTAATAAAGAATTATGCTTTGTTTTGTTTTTTTTAAAGAAGTCAAATGCCTTGCCTATAATCCCAACATCAAGGAAGCAGATACAAGAGGATCCCTGAGGCTTGCGTAGCAGCCAGTTTCAAGGACTCTGTGAGCTCCAGGCTTAATGAGAAATCCTGTCTGAAAAGCAAGGTAGAAAGTGAACGGAGAGACATCTGACATTGCCCTAACTTCCAGACTCACAAGCACACACACACACACACACACACACACACACACACACACACACAGATGAAATAAAGAGTTCCATCAATAAATGCATCATTTGGGGGGAGAAGGGTGGGAGGAGGGGGAGAAGGGTGGGAGGAGGGGAAGGGAAATGGGAGGCTGGGAGGAGGTGGAAACTTGTTTTTTGTTTATGTTTTTTTTCTTCTTTTCGCAATAAAAAAAATTAAAAAAAAATAAATGCATCATTTGCACACAAAAAAATCCTTTCCAGGAAGAATGAAAATCCCTCTCTCTCCCCTCCCATCAGCCAACAAAGAAAGCAGAACTCACTGAAATGGAGAATGTAAGCAGCTGAAGTTTGGTGAGCACCTGACTAAACAAGAGTGGAAAACTGGAACCACTTAAGAGAAGCCCAACCTGTACGGGTCAGGTTCAACAGAAACCCAGCAAGGAGTCGTTTATTTAGATTTGGTATTTTAAAATGTATTTACGTTGTGCTAGGTGAAGACCTTAAAAATCTGTGCTGCAAATGCTATTTGACATATTACAATGCAGCGGCTACAAACAGCTTTCATTTGCATCACAATGTGGTAGAAACAAAGGAAAACGAATTTCTTTCTGGATTAAGAAAGACATAAAGGAAGCTTCTATATAAGAATCTTATTTGAGTTAAGGCTGTTACCAAGGAAATTTAAGGCATAGCCAAAGAAACTTTATAGATATTTATAAAGATATAAATATATAGAATGCTTTATATTAGTATGCATTTTCTTCATGATATAAGCAACAGAAATTTTCAAATCTAATTTTTTTCACTATATACAGTGACATTGAAAAGCTCGTCAGTTCCTCTTTGAATATTAAAATACTCTTGCACAGTAGTAGCATGATTCAGTGTTTAGACTACCAACTCTTGAAGATTCAGAAATGTAAGATCAAAAACAGTACATCTTAAGCAAACATTTTCTTTATTTGAAATTTTTTATTCATTTTACATACCAGCCAGAATTCTCCCTTCCTCCCCTCCCTCCCACCTCCTCATCCACTCCTCAAAAAGGGTAAGGCCTCCCATGGGGAGTCAACAAAGCCTGGCCCATTAAGGTGAGGCAGGACCAGCCCCTCCTCCCTGCATAGAGGCTGAGTAAGGCATCCCACCATAGGGAAAGGGCTCCAAAAAGCCAATTAAGCAGACATTTTTTTAAAATGATATTTGAATACATTTATGGTATTAAAAGGAAGTTTCTTCATAAACCATCACTGAAATACTCCAGTCAACTTCATGAAGTAGAGTCTCATACTCTGTCCCTGACAGTGTTAGCAAACTCTCAAATCAATCCAGCTGTAGCATATAAAATTTTCAGTGAAAATAAAATACAATTCACTGTACAGGAAAGCAAAAGTTTTGCTGTTAAAACATCACAGAATGTAGATGACTGACAAATTAGTCAAAATGTTACTAAATTACACTTACCAATCCACCCTCATATCATACATAAAACACCCCAAGCAATTAGAAAGCACTTATTAGAGTAATGGGTTTTAGAGACCCAATAGAACGCAAAACTGAAGTTGCTTTGGGATCACAAAGGATCTGCACACAGCAGGGCTACAGGATGCTGGAGTTGAGCGTCCTCTAAAATGTTAAACTAGGGGAAAACACCAGGCAAATCATCCAAAATGAAATAGGAAGCATCAACATTTTAACCCTTTTCCACCTATTATTATTTCCTCTAAATTGGGAAGCTACTTTCTAACTATATGTGTTTTCAAGCTATAGCAATTACAGTTTTAAGCCAGGCCTGTTATCCCAGGCTTAAGCAAGTGGTTGCTAGAGAGTAAGTTCAAAGCCA